TCAAATGCAACCATGCAGGGGCCCTAGAGAAAGAATGAGCCCAGAGGCAGCTATGACTGAGGTGGGCAGGACCTGGCATGCTGTAGGGATTAGGGAAGGCAACTGATGCTGAACTTCAGTCCTGAAACGGGTTCTACTGCAGAGAACCCTCTTGTGTGCGTTCTCAGTGTTCCTTACAGCCCTCAGGGTCTGCGTGCAGCCACCTTGGGAAGCACCTCCAGCAGCCACACAGGCAGCTCCCCTTGGTGTGGTGGACAACCACAGGGATGGCAGGGGAGGGCCTCCCACTGCTGTCTCTCCACCTGAGAAGAGCAGGCCACGATGCTTCCAGATTCAAGCCTCTTCTTCCTTCATGTTCAGTAATAATGTTTTGTAGGCATCTTCCCTGCTCCTTCTTTTTCTTCCTCTTGCTTTTTTGAGACAGCCTCTCACTTTGTAGCCCAGGCTAGCCTTGAACTCACAATCCTCCTGCCTTAGCCCCCAAGGGCTGGGATTACCACCATGTGCCACTATGGCTGGCCCAATTTTATCATTTTATTACCATATTTGTAAGTATTTTTATTCCTTATTATGAATAGGATCTTTGTTTTCACTCTGCTTGCCCCCTTTTTTCCCCTTGCATTCCAAACAAGAAGCTTATTTAAACAACAAGATGTTGGCTGGGGAGATGGCTCAGTGGAATAAGTGCTTCCCAGGCAGGCGCAAGGGCCTGAGTTCAATCCCCAGTCCCGGGGAAAATAAATAAATAAATAAACAAACAACAAGATGTTGACTTAAAAGGGAAATTATCCAGATTCTTTTTTAATTAATTATTTATTTATTTGGCACAGGGTCTCACTGCAGAGCGCAGGCTTGCAGTGATCCTCCTGTCTCAGCCTTGTCAGCGCTGGGATTACAGGTGTGTGCCACCAAGTCTGGTTTCAGTGGCCAGCTTGGTGCTGGCACAGCATGTGGTACTGGGGATTGAACCCAGGTCCTTGCGTTTGCCAGGCAGGTGCTTAGACTGCCGGGCTATCTCCCTGGTCCTGGATTCTTTTTTAAAAGAATAGTTTGCCCCTACTTAAGGACAGATCATCCTATATACAACAGCTATGTACAAAAAGTCATAAAATTGTCCTTGGTTTTATAATAATAAATGAAAAACACTAAGGTATGCAAGGATTTTTATTATTTTTTGTTGTTGTTGTTGATATAGGGCAAAACAACTTACTGGAATACAAAGATCAGAGCTGAATGAGCACGCTATTGACCTAGAAAGGGCATTATTGCCACAGAACCAGTACCGTCCCAGTCCTGCTTCCACTTAATGTCAATCAAAAAATACTGCTGGCCATTTAGTTCTTAGTGCCATGTGCACATGCACACATCAGCTACTTTACATACCATGTAGGAGCAGGCAGGAGAATGAGAGAATAGAGAGAACAGTCCACAGGGGTCAGGCTAAGGCAGAAGCGAACCGCGGCTTTCTAACGGACAATGCATTGCTGGTCTACAAGATCAGAGGTCTGGAGCCACGTTTGCTCCTCAGCAGACCCCACTGTCTGCAGCTGGAACACCCCCACCCTATCTCCATTTTTTACCTCCAACTGAGCAGGTATCTGTCTCCTAGCCTGGGGGCCAGTCAACTCAGACAGAATCTGGTCTTCCTCACCGACAAGCCAACCGGCTGCTCGCTGGGCTCTCAGTGGGTCAGCAAGCAGTCGGTGCGCCTCTTCCCCTTAAGCAGCATCACATAACTATGACCACAGCTGAGTCAGGTAGAACATTCTAGGCAGTCAGACAGGGTGGGCCCTCGAAGGAGTGCGTGCTGAAGATGAGAACGCACTACAACTGTGGCTGGAGGTGCAGCTCTTGAAGGCCAGGCCTCAAGACAAGGACAGGAGGATGGCACCTAAGTACCTCGCTGAGGTCCGCGTAAATTTATTACATGACCTCCTGAACCATCTCTTCTGAAAAGTTTCTTATTCTTTGCATGTACTTTCGCTACATGCCTTGCTTCCCCACTGGATCCACATTACACCAAAGCAGCTATATTTGTCATCTTATTGGTTGATCATAGTTTTGTCCCATGTTGTACCCACCTTGTGATTCTGCCCTATAAAACTTCCTTTGAGAAGTAGTTTCAGTGGCAACCTACTTTCCAGGTTTCCTATCCATCTCAGGAGCTGTCTTTCCCTCAATAAAATTTCCTACTCTTAACCTCCACTATTCCTTAGAAGTCGTTCTTAGATTTCGGGGAACACAAATTTTGCAAATTGCACATCCAGCAGATTGGGAGCGACAGTACCTCCC